ACTCACACGGGGGTCTGGCAAATGCTGGCCGTGAGTCATCCTTACGGTTCAGAATTTCGTCCTCCATCTTGTCACGGGACAGAACCCTGTACACAGAATTTTAAAATTTAAAAGAAATAAAACACAAATGAGATTATACCTCTTTATTGCAAATAGTTTACCCCCTTTTGAAAACTTTACTTTACTTTTACTTTTATCCACCGCTTATACCCTTTTGGGTGTCGCGGGAATGAAAGAGACGTCTCTCTGTAGGCAGCCGGCGTGAGCTTGGGTTAAGGGGGTACCGTGGGTGGTTAGTGTTTCCCTGACTCCAGGTCTTTCTCGGTCGCCCTCTAGCCTTGTTGTCATCGAATTTTTTTTTTTTTATGTAGGCACGTTGTGCTGGATGGTGTTTTAGTAATCGCTTTTATTAAGTCTTTTAGGAAGCGGACAGCTTTGACATTGTCTGTGAGGGTTAATCCATGTCAAATGGGAGGGGTGGCGTCGGTAGCCTATGTATAGTGATTAGGCTACCGGACGTGTAATCGTGAGGTTGCGGGTTCGGGGCTTCGAGCCTCAGCTCGGTCCGACTTTGTGTACTTGGGAAAGGCACTCTACACGAATTTCCCACTTGGCCAGGTCCTTTCGGAGATGGACGTCAACCTCGGAGGTCCCGCCTCTTAAATAACCTATAAATGTTGATAGGGGAGTTAAACCTAAACAATATCACCATTTTTTTCAAGCAGGATGCAGCATCTCCACACACAGAGGGAGATAATCTATTAAAGTACAGTTGTTCCCGCATCCGATCTGGACATTGTGAATTGCCTTGTAAGTGAAACAACTTCCTGGGTCTTCGACATAATATTATTGTGGTAGGGTGACCAGTTCCTTTCCACGCCACCTTTACTTCCCCAACTCGAAGCCAGGTACCCATTAGTGCTGGGTGGGCATGAGGGGGCAAAAAAAAAATCCATCTCCGAACCGAGGCTTGAACCCGGGCTTTCCGCTTCGGAGACGGGCGCTCTAACCGCTCCGCCACCACACCCTCTAGATAATCTATCACATGGTAAATACAAAATGCATCTTAAGAATAGGAATGAATGATAGAAAGATACTACCCCTCTAGGGAATAGTTGAACTCGTGTCTTTGGCATACTACGACGAAGAGTTAAAAAGCTGCTCCCCTGGCAATGGCTAAGTTTAGTTACAACATTATTTTGTAAAAATTAAATATTTATACCAGTTGGACTAACTGATGTATAAGGGTACAATTATGGCAAGCAAACGAAAGATCTTGATTCAGATCTGAGTAGGACAAAAATGTTATTCTTTTCCTCGATATTCTTGGAAGAGAAGACTCTCTTCTAAATCCATGTCTCGTCTGAGGATCATGCATAACATTTACAAAAGGCGTCTAAAAGTCAAAGTTCAAATTTGAGCAAAGGAAAACGAAGCAGCTGGTTGTGTGGATTTTGCTGTCTGTCCTTTTGTCTCCTCCCCGCCCCCCCTCTCTCTCTCTCTCTCTCTCTCTCTCT